AGCAGTCTACAGGATGTTCTTAAAGAAGCGACATGACAACTCTTAGATTTTAAAAGGTTTTTATATCTGTTGGTTTGTTCCTTAATACATTATCTCCCAGACCTAGGCTGAACTTTTTTCAATACAATTTGATATTTAAAAGAATAAGTAGTTAGCGTTGGTCACATGGGCTTTAATACGAACTTAAGATATATATATACAGATGACACGACAGTATTAAGATAATAATAACAACGGTTTCTATTAAACTCATTTCCTAAATATCATAGAATTCTTCTAGTAATTAAATAGATAATGTTATACAGGGTGTTAATTAAGTATGTAAAATAAATTTAACAGACAGTGATTTTAAGACAAAGAGTTGGTCCGCAGATGCTTCGTTTTCCTGTTAAAGTTTTGTGAAAAAATTGATGTTTCGTAAATATCTTAACCCAATTTTAGTGACACAGCTATTTATTTCAAACCGTTAGTGAAATATAAGGTATCTTGTGATGATGGTGTTCAAAATGGCGGCGAATGGTGAGGTTGGTGTGTTTGCTAGAGAACTTAAAAACTTGAAAAAGGAAGAATTAATCGAGTTCATTGTATCTAAGAAAGTGCCAAATAGTGTTTCAAACATTCCTCTTAAAAACTATCTAAATAGTTTTGTGAACGAAAGTGGTAATAGTGTCAAGAATACTGAAACTATGGGTACTACGGAGCATGGCTGTCAGAAAGATCTCTGTGAGCAGGTAGGAGAGAAACAGATAAATTAAAATTGGAACTACATGCTCTGCAAAAGTTATTATATCATATTGAAAAAAAGAACATCTGAGCAAGAAGACTTCATTGAATTTCTAAAAAAAGAAATCAATAATTCTATCCCAATAATTTTTTCCAATCAAAGTAACAATAAAAAGGAAGGCTCTAGTAGTGGTTCGTGTCTGCCATCTTTGGAACCCTCAAAGAATAATTTATTCCCGTTGAACATACAGTCTAGCTCATATTTAGTTGATAATACAGTTGCCCGCAACCAGATGACTGTATCGCCACCTATCAGCCACGTTAATAAGAACAGTTCTGATAACGTGTCGGATAAAACAACTACTAAGATTATAATTGGCAAGAGACGCAAGAAAAACAATGGCAGCACCGGCGACGGCTGTGCGCAAGAAATATAAGCGGCTGAACCATCAGTCACTCTTCACGTCTCGAATGTAAATCTAAATACTACAGAGGATCAAATGGCAGCATACATCACCCAGAGAGTACAAGGAACAGTATTTCACGTTAAAAAGCTTACCACAAAGGATTCTTATGCATCATTCAAAGTAGTTATTCCTCGTAATTTACAAGAGAAAATACTAGACGAAAACTTTTGGAGTGAGAACATAAAGGTGCAGTTATTTCGTTTCTTCAGGAAAATATCAACAAACCGTTCTAAAACAACAGGAAAAAGTTTCCCCAGTGTCAGACGCAATATGGACAAGTCCAAACGATGGTAGTGTTCCCGGCATCATACGTATTTGTCACTTAAATTGCCGCAGTTTACGTAACAAGATTGAAGACTTGGAACTCCTACTTCAACATATTGACTATCCGGAGGTAATATGTGTCTCTGAAACTGGATTTCGTGATTTTGAAATTGTGCATGTTAAAATTGACAACTATGTTCTTTGTGACTTTTTTTGTAGATCTGATCATGAGCAAGGGGGAGTAGCGATATTTATATTATCCACTTTAGATTTTAGGAAAGTTTCTTGTAAAGTACCAAGGTTAGAATTCACATTTGAGTAAGCTTTGACTGAAGTTGTGTTAAAAAACAAGCAAACAATTTTGGTAGGATGTTTCTACAGAACTCCACTTGCCTCCCCTGCTCCAGATAATTCAAGTGAATTTCTATTACATATTGAAGATTTACTAAACCAAACTATAAAAACTGACTTGGTCTTCTTATGTGGAGATTTTAATTTTAATTTTGATCCTTGTAATTTAAATCCTTTTGCCAAAAAGTTATGCAATATCTTTGCCACCTTTAATTTGAAACAAACAATATGGTCCTATACCAGGGAAGTAGGTGAGGCGAAGACAATAATTGACAATATCTTTTCGAGTATGGATATTAATATATTGAACCCGCAAAATATAAAATGTGATATTTCAGACCATCATTTACAACAGGTTTCTTTTTCCATTTTTGAATCTAATGTTGTTCAAAAGCCAGACTCTTATTATTTTAAGCGACTTAGTAACAATCCAATAAATATAGCATTCTTCCAGCATTTGATAGCAAAAGTCAGATGGGATTTTTTAGATTTAAATTTGTCGCTTGATGAACAATTTTCATGAGGTTATCTTGAATGCATTTGATAAAGCTTTCCCTGTGGAGCTGTGTAAAAATAAGAATAAATCCCATATGAAGACAAACCCATGGGTGACACTGGAAATCATTAATGAGGGGATTATGTTAAGAGAATTATATAATATATACAGATGTACTAATGATAACGAATTAAAATTGCGCTATGACTTTAAAAAAAAATTCATAAACAAAAAATTATTGTAGCAAAATCAACATATTTTGGTAATAAGATATTGAATTCTTCTAACAAATCTCAAGCAGCCTGGAACATTATTAAAAATAATTGTAATACTTTAAATAGTAATATTTGTCAAAGCCATCACGATGATGATGGGAACAATATTTCAAACTTACATATGGCCGCAGATGCATTTGTCGATTCGGCCATGTGCTTAAATGATAAAAAGTTTCAAAGGAATGGGTCTTTAGGCATCCCTTTTGTGTCTAATTCCATATTCTTGTTCCATTTTACAGAAATAGAAGTAATGGATATAATTAGGAAAGTTTGCACGAAAAATTCGGCGAGTTTTGAGAGCATTCCAGGCACAATTCTTAATAAAATAATTTCATTTATATCCGTTCCTTTGACTAGTTTGATCAATCATTCTTTTACACAAGGATATTTTCCTTCTATATTAAAAAAACTGTAATTATTCCTATCCATAAAAAGAATGATAAGTATTTAATATCTAATTACCGAGGAATAGCACTCCTTTCTGTATTTTCGAAAATATCTGAAATGGCATTTTATTTAAGAATATTAAGTTTCGCAGAAAATAATATAATTTTTAGAAAAAGTTTGGCGACACAAGATGCAATTTTATCTTTATATAGCTTTATATTAAATGCATTAGAAAATAAAGACAAATGTGCATGTATACCATTTGATTTGACTAGGGCATTCGATATAGTTGATCATACACTTTTGTTAAGCAAGTTAGAAAGGTATGGCATAAGAGGTCCTGCGCTGAACTGGCTTAATAGCTATTTACAAGGAAGAACTCAAGAAGTTCTTTTAAATGTCAATGGTATTCAATATTTTTCACAACCGAGGCATATCCAATTAGGTGTCCCTCAAGGGAGCATTTTAGGCCCATTTTTGTTCTTACTATTTATTAATAACATTGAAATGATTGCTAATTCAAAAAGATTTGTAACAATGTTCGCAGATGACACTTCTGTGGCGGTTAAATCGGAATCTATTGCGGCACTTAGTGGCCTTGCATCAAGTGTTGTGATTAGCATGCAAAATTATTGTAAAAATAATAATTTAGCTTTAAATGGCACAAAAACTGATCTGATCGTGTTCAATACTAAAGAAATAAATTGTAGTATATTAGTCAAATTTAACAACAAAACTATTCAACAAAATACTTCAGTAAAATTTTTGGGAGTCCTCTTGGATTCAAAGTTATCTTGGTTAAATCATATTAACGAATTATTGAATAAATTGGCAAAACATTGTTTTGTTCTTTGGCGTTTAGGCAAATTTGTAGATTTGGAAATTTTAAAAATGTATTACTTTGGTTATGTTCAGTCTAATTTAAGCTACTGCATTATTTGTTGGGGTAACTCGTCACATATTAAAGATTTATTTATTCTCCAGAAAAAGATTATACGTACAATGACTAATTCAAAGGCACAAGATTCTTGCAGTTATTTAAAAGATAAGGTATTCTTACAGTTTATTCACTATATATTTTAAGCTATGTTACATATGTGAAAAACCATTTAACAAATTTCATTACACGTGCCAATACAACTCAGTCTTCTGGCTATAATCTGAGATTCTCTTAATTTAAAAATACCCCCAGCATCGCCTAACGTTAACAGCTAATGGCCCTTTTATTATGTCCATTAAATTATATAATAAGTTGCCAACGCATATTAAACAGATAAATTCTTGTGTTGTCTTTCGTAACAAAGTAAAGCGAATTCTCTTACAGAATCCCTTCTATAATATTGATGAGTATATGTGTTGTGTCTTCAATGAGTCTGGTTTTTAATTTTAATTTTTTATTTTAATTTCTTTATTGTAATTTTTAATTTTTTATTGCAATTTTTATTCTATATTTTGTAATTATGTTCTATACCTTGCATTGGTCTATATTTTGTAGTTTGTCCTTATACATTTATGACCTGTGTTACATACTTTTGACAATTTTCGATACTTTGTGTGAGCAAAGTCTTATGAAATAAATTTATTATTATTATTATTATTATTATTAGTCAGTCTCTCCTCTAAGGAGGTTAATACATATTTACGGCTTCAGCGCAAGTAAATATGTGTTGTAGAAGGTAATAGCGATCTAGTTAATTGCACTTGTCGCTCCCTGAAGGTAATTACAGTATNATTATTATTTTTTCAGTCTCTCCTCTAAGGAGGTTAATACATATTTACGGCTTCAGCGCAAGTAAATATGTGTTGTAGAAGGTAATAGCGATCTAGTTAATTGCACTTGTCGCTCCCTGAAGGTAATTACAGTCCCCTAAAACTCTTCGAACAATATTGCATGTGTCTAATAGTACTGACTTCTGCAATGGTAAGTATATTCTGTTTTCCAATTTCAATTCTTTAAGACTGTCATGTAATTTTACAGGTATTTCTCCAGTCGATCCTATGATTATTGGAACAATTCTGACCTTGTTCATCCCCCACATGGCTTTGACTTCATCAGCAAGAGGTAAGTATTTATTAATTTTTTCCGCATGTTTTTTGTTTATATTTGCAGCCAGAGGTACAGAGATCTCTACTAAGTATGTAACTTTCTCTGTTTTTAAAGTAACTACGATATCGGGGACATTGTTTTGAATGAATTTATCCGTTTTTATAGGTCTATTCCAGTATATTTTAACTTTCTCATTTTCCAATATAGCGGGAGGTACATATGTATAGTATGGCTGTGTGCAATCCAGGAATCCGTGTTGTGCCGCTAAATTCTTGTGGATTATCTTGGCAACGTTGTTGTGCCTATCTGTGTATTGTTTCTGAGCCAATGTTGTGCATTGGATTGTGTTGGATTCTTCCTTATCGTTGCATATTCAACATTTGATGTTATTTATGTTTTCCCCCACGGTTCTCTTTCGATATGATTTAGTTGCAACCACTTGATCCTGAATCGCCGCCACAAAGCCTTCGGTCTCAACAAATAAGTTTCCTGCACGTATCCATTCCNTTTCCCTTCTTTATTAAAAAAAGCTGTAATTATTCCTATCCATAAAAAGAATGATAAGTATTTAATATCTAATTACCGAGGAATAGCACTCCTTTCTGTATTTTCTAAAATATTTGAAAGGGCATTTTATTTAAGAATATTAAGTTTTGCAGAAAATAATAATATAATTAATAAAAATCATTTCGGATTTAGAAAAAGTTTGGCGACACAAGATGCAATTTTATCTTTGTATAGCTTTATATTAAATACATTAGAAAATAAAGACAAATGTACATGTATGCTATATGATTTGACTAGGGCATTCGATGTAGTTTGTTAAGCAAGTTAGAAAGGTATGGCATAAGTGGTCCTGCGCTGAACTGGCTTAATAGCTATTTACAAGGAAGAACTCAAGAAGTTCTTTTAAATGTCAATGGTATTCAATATTTTTCACAACCGAGGCATATCCAATTAGGTGTCCCTCAAGGGAGCATTTTAGGCCCATTTTTGTTCTTACTTTTTATTAATAACATTGAAATGATTGCTAATACAAAAAGCTTTGTAACAATGTTCGCAGATGACACTTCTGTGGCGGTTAAATCGGAATCTATTGCGGCACTTAGTGGCCTTGCATCAAGTGTTGTGATTAGCATGCAAAATTATTGTAAAAATAATAATTTAGCTTTAAATGGCACAAAAATTGATCTGATCGTGTTCAATACTAAAGAAATAAATTGTAGTATATTAGTCCAATTTAACAACAAAACTATTCAACAAAATACTACAGTAAAATTTTTGAGAGTCCTCTTGGATTCAAAGTTATCTTGGTTAAATCATATTAACGAATTATTGAATAAATTGGCAAAACATTGTTTAGTTCTTTGGCGTTTAGGCAAATTTGTAGATTTGCAAATTTTAAAAATGTATTACTTTGGTTATGTTCAGTCTAATTTAAGCTACTGCATTATTTGTTGGGGTAACTCGTCACATATTAAAGATTTATTTATTCTCCAAAAAAAGATTATACGTACAATGACTAATTCAAAGGCACGAGATTCTTGCAGACAATTATTTAAAAGATTAGGTATTCTTACAGTTTATTCACTATATATTTTAAGCTGTGTTACATATGTGAAAAACCATTTAACAAATTTCATTACACGCGCCAATACAACTCAGTCTTCTGGCTATAATCTGAGAGAATCTCTTAATTTAAAAATACCCCAGCATCGCCTAACGTTAACGGCTAATGGCCCTTTTATTATGTCCATTAAATTATATAATAAGTTGCCAACGCATTTTAAACAGATAAATTCTTGTGTTGTCTTTCGTAACAAAGTAAAGCGATTTCTCTTACAGAATCCCTTCTATAATATTGATGAGTATATGTGTTGTGTCTTCAATGAGTCTGGTTTTTAGTTTTAATTTTAATTTTTTATTTTAATTTTTTTATTGCAATTTTTAATTTTTTATTGCAATTTTTATTCTATATTTTGTAATTATGTTCTATATCTTATGTCATTGGTCTATATTTTGTAGTTTGTCCTTATACATTTATTATCTGTTTTTTATTTGTGTTACATACTTTTGACAATTTTCGATACTTTGTGTGAGCAAAGTCTTATGAAATAAATATATTATTATTATTANGTTTTTTTTTTATCAAAATAAGAATACCCTCGGAGCAATTAAAATATTTAAAAAAATTATCCAAAAAACTTGATTTTGCCTTTTTTTCATCAATTATTATTGCTATTTTGCAACATCGGTAATAAATTTAAATAGTTTTTACTTACAGTATAAAATTTATTTCTAAAACGTTTTTCCTCTTCAATATTCTTCCAAAATGCATAGGTTCCAAGATATAAGTAAAACACTGAGATAAAATAGGTATTTTTTTAAAATTGTTTAAACATTTTTGCAATTTTGAAAATATTCCGGACGTCGCCCGGATCTAAGGATCTACACTTTTATTATGTGAGTTGTACTGAAGGTATTCCAGCAAAAGTGAACTTACCCCCTCTAATATCCAAGAAGTGGGATATTTCGAAAGATCCAACCTGGTGTAAGATTGGATAGTCAATATATAGCAAACTCGGAAGTCGGAAGCAAATATAAACCAGGGTCTTTCCCGTTCTTAGAATTATGTAAATTCTAAATTCAATAACAAGTAAGTTAGATGTCCCTCTAATATTTACAAATTTCTTTCAGAGTTCTTATAATAAATAACCTAACACAAAATTATATAAATTCAGATATTGCGGAATTGGATAATTTAGCTTCTTCGACCAAGATATCTTGCGTTATTTAAAAAAATTCAAATCTAAGACTACTAGCGGACCTGACGGAATTTCAGCACTTAATCCTTTGGCAGTGTTCTAATCTCATTTTTCACTCTGATATTTTCCGTTGTATATAGAAATTATTTAAAATTAAATATATTAGAGAACACACTTTTTGTTGACTTATATCTGACACGCGCCTTTAGGTAACGTTTGCCATCTGAATCCAGAAATGATCCCAGTTTTTCTCTCTATCACGTAAGCGTTTTACTCCTTTTTTCAAAAAATCATACAAAGTATACTTTTGTCCATATAAAGGTTTGTGTATTGTTACTATAAATCAAATCGTATACAAATAGTGAAGTTCTGCTTCAAAACATACATACTAAGATAAAAATGTACGCTTATAGCTTTACCTGGAGTGTCCAATCTGATGACAGTCTCGCTTGATGCTCCAACAATAGTTAGCAGTCATATGTATATCCCATCTACCTTAATATAATACCTCCATAATCTTGGTAGAATCGTTCGCCTTACTCATTATTGACTGCAACGGGAAGTCATCAAGATGCCTTTGTATTCTGTTCTCGTTTATTTCCAAGAAAGTCATTGATAACCAAGCATTCATTTGAGGTTTATCTTTAATGAGCTGCCGAGTTTGTGGACCGTCAGATACACCGCCTTTGTCTTTTCAAGAGAAAGGTTACGAAATGCAAAAATAAGATACTTGAAACAGTTCCCTTCAGTTGGTAGAGCTTTGACGAATTGCTTCATTAGATTCAGTTTTCAATGCAGAGGTGGGAATATAATATTCGTTCTGTCAACAAGTGGCTCATGAAGAATGTTCGGATCACCAGATTTGAGGTCCAATCTTAAAGGCCAATTTGACTCCACCCAATTCTTCACACGAGCTCTGCTGTCCCACAGAGAAAACAGGAATTTTGCTTGACAGTGCAATGACTTACTTTATGTCTCCATAATCTTCACGAAAATAAACTGAATGGTCAATTGGAATGGCATCTAATGATTGGTTAATCAAAAACAGAATGTACCTCAATTCACTACATATTGACAATCTTGAAAAGGTTCAGTGCCGTTAAGACTATTCGATTTGATGGTGATACCCTCCTTTCCTCAGTCGGTTCTGTTGGATCGCTTTCAATTTATTTCACTTGTTAATGGACGTAATATTAGAAAGAATTACCCGCTACACAACATTTGCAATATTTATAATAAAGGGTTGACTTCTACTGGCCTTTTTTCCTTTAACTTAGCTCATATTAAGAAAATTTTATAAAGTATTATATCTCATTTGTTTGAATTTTTTTGTGTATATCATTCAGTTATATAATTTTTCACGCTATAAGTATCTGCTCAACTTTCCGTTTTCTAAGACCATCATTATTGAACCTGAAGTTCAATTTATTAAAAGATTCTTTAATTTTGCTTTTTTTATACAATATGTTTTAGACCAAACCCATAGGATCCTTTACATTTTTGATAGCTTGGCTAATTGCCGTATTTTCTTATTGCCATGCAGGTCAAAGGATCAAAGACAAGGTTGGTAGACTAATTTCCATGAAAACTTAAAAAAGTTAATAAAGACCATGCTTTTGTAGACTATATCCATCGGTGATGCATTATATGAATCCAAGTGGTACAATGCCGATAATGAGACTATGAAAGATGTGCAGTTCATATTAATGAGATGTCGAAAGCCGATATGCTATGAAGCGATACCTCTGGGAATAACCGATTACCCCTTTTATTTTATGGTAAAAACTGAAATTGTCTTACGTTTATAATGCGTTACTTTTACTTACATTCCATAAGCAAAAGATGTTGCGAAATGGAAAGTTCAAATTTACAACAGAATATTAATAGCAGATATGATAGGCAAAGGCATTTTCGGTATACAGGATCGTGTAACTTTTGTATTTCACATTCTTTAAAAACAAAAAAGTTAATGGGGGAGGTCAAATTATAGTGAATCATCCTGTACATCTCAAGGCAACTTTTAAAATCATAATTGTTTTCCTGGAAGTACAGTCTACTTAGAAAATTGTACTTTTTCGATGTAATTTACCTTGCTCTTTCTAGCATGGAAGTATTGTTAAAAAAATAACCTTGAAATCGTTCAAAATTATTACGTACCAAATTTGGATCAGAACGTTAACATCGGAAACGTTTTTTACACTTTCTTAGCACTCTTAAAAAATAAATCGGAAATAAAAAATAATTATATCCCTTTTATTGTTCTAGGTGCATTGTTCAATTGTTTATTAATCTATTTAATTTCAGATGATCAAAACTGGATATTCTTATTTCACATTGTTAAACCAGTCTACATAGATGTGAATGGTATTGCTTTCGGAAATTGACACAACAAATAAAACACAATTTAGAAATAGCGATCTTTGATTTCACCATAAGCAACCGATTATTCCCTATTGGAATATGTACTTCTAAACAAAAAGGCAAGATGGAACACCATAAATTTTCAACAGATTTTCATTTATATGTAGATTTATAAAGCAATAAAAATCTAGCAGTAGCAAGTATTAACTTTTCTTCTTCAGCTGTTTCGATATCAATTTTTTCAAATACAAGTTTCCACTAATTGAACTTTTGAGTATCTCAAAAAAGTCGTTTTAAAAATAACACAAACACGCATAAAAGTTTATTCTTTTGATCAGACCCTGGTATTGGCATGTTTTAAGATCCATTGAACATGAATCTGAAGTCAATTTGGCGTTAGCACTCATACCGGAAAGGTATCCGATTTAGGGTAAAAGTATTCGGTAGTTTTCTTTTAACAAGGCAATTGTCTGTTGTCTTCAAAAGTAGTCCACCATCATATTCATATGTCCCACTTACCCTGACACCGTTTTTCCATTTCCTTTAAAGAAGAAAACTTTTTCGAGGAAGATGAAGAGGAAGACGAGAAGGAATACGAAGCAATGACAAGGAAATTGATTTATTTTATTTTTATACATATACCATGGCATTTAAAGAAACATCCGCAAACGTTTAATCAGAGTGAGTTAAATGATGTTACTCTAAGTTTACCAAGTACTAAGTATATATATAAATAAACAATAAATCCATTTCCTTGTCATCGTTTCGTATTCCTTCTCGTCTTCCTCTTTATCTTCCTCGCGAAACTTTCTTCTTTAAAGGAAATGGAAAAACGGTATCAGGGTAAGTGGGACATGAATATGATGGTGGACTACTTTTAGAAACAAAAGAGCTCCCTACAGAAAAATGCGTTTCCGGTATATTCTTGGTATATACTTTCCCAGTATATTCTTGAAACAGCCTATATTATGAATTTAGTGAATATTTTCTCGAAAATGGCGGGGTGCTAACGCCAAAATGGCTTCAGATTCGTTTTCAATGGATCTTAAAACATGCCAATAACAGGAATCAAAAGAATAAACCTTTTTGTGTTATTTTTAAAACGATTTATTTAGAGATACTCAAAAGTTCAATTAGTGGGAACTTGTATTCGAAAAAATTGATATCAAAACAGATAATTCTGTTTTGGATAAAAATTGTGCCACCTAAAAGCTGAAGAAGAAAAGTTAATATTTGCTACTGCTAGATTTTTATTGCTTTATACATATAAATGAAAATCTGTTGCAAAGTTTTGGTGTTCCATCTTGACTTTTTGTTTAGATGTATTCGAATAGGAAATAATCACTTGCTTATGGTGAAATCTAAGCGTATTTCTAAATTGTGTTTTATTTGTTGTATCAATTTCCGAAAGCAATACCATTCACATCTGTGTAGACTGGTTTAACAATGTGAAATAAGAATATCCAGTTTTGATCATCTGAAATTAAATAGATTAGTAAACAATTGAACAATGCACCTAGAACAATAAAAGGGACATAATTATTTTTTATTTCCAATTTATTTTTTAAGAGTGTAAAAAACGTTTCCGATGTTAACGTTCTGATCCAAATTTGGTACGTAATAATTTTGAACGATTTCAAGGTTATTTTTTTAACAATACTTCCATGCTAGAAAGAGCAAGGTAAATTACATCGAAAAAGTACAATTTTCTAAGTAGACTGTACTTCCAGGAAAACAATTATGATTTTAAAAGTTGCCTTGAGATGTACAGGATGATTCACTATAATTTGACCTCCCCCATTAACTTTTTTGTTTTTAAAGAATGTGAAATACAAAAGTTACACGATCCTGTATACCGAAAATGCCTTTGCCTATCATATCTGCTATTAATATTCTGTTGTAAATTTGAACTTTCCATTTCGCAACATCTTTTGCTTATGGAATGTAAGTAAAAGTAACGCATTATAAACGTAAGACAATTTCAGTTTTTACCATAAAATAAAAGGGGTAATCGGTTATTCCCAGAGGTATCGCTTCATAGCATATCGGCTTTCGACATCTCATTAATATGAACTGCACATCTTTCATAGTCTCATTATCGGCATTGTACCACTTGGATTCATATAATGCATCACCGATGGATATAGTCTACAAAAGCATGGTCTTTATTAACTNATCAAAGATCGCTATTTCTAAATTGTGTTTTATTTGTTGTGTCAATTTCCGAAAGCAATACCATTCACATCTATGTAGACTGGTTTAACAATGTGAAATAAGAATATCCAGTTTTGATCATCTGAAATTAAATAGATTAATAAACAATTGAACAATGCACCTAGAACAATAAAAGGGAGATAATTATTTTTTATTTCCAATTTATTTTTTAAGAGTGTAAAAAACGTTTCCGATGTTAACGTTTTGGTCCAAATTTGGTACGTACTAATTTTGCACGATTTCAAGGTTATTTTTTTAACAATACTTGTATGCTAGAAAGAGCAAGGTAAATTACATCGAAAAAGTACAATTTTCTAAGTAGACTGTACTTCCAGGAAAACAATTATGATTTTAAAAGTTGCCT